GCACTCAACTTCAACAGTCGCGCTATAACAAACTATAGTTCACGTCTCACGAGCTCTACTTCAACAATACGTCTCTCTCTGAATGCAGTTCAATTACTCATTACCTACATACACCTTATCACGTCACGCCGTGACCATCTTATATATACCTGACCACCCCCCAATCTAGTAAATGCTAGAGCACTCCCGAAGGAACGGGATAGTTCTTGAAACGTGGCGTGACACTAGTCACGTGACCTCGCTGACCCAACAATATTTATTTTACAGCAAACAATTAAATTATAACATTGAAAACATAACTTATATTATAACACTATTGCTGTAACGTCGTTCTTTCGTTAGAAGGCTGTTTTAAATTATTTGGTGTAAATAATTCAACATTAAGTTCACGTAACGATAAAAAAAAGTTTATTTCTTCATTTAACGTTTCTACGAGCTTAAATACTGTGGTACTTGTAGACCACATTAAAAATGACGCTAACTGCACTACACAAATGTAAAGAATCAAATTACTTGCACAAAGTAACTCAACATACACGATAGCTAATACAGATCCAAATACTTCATGAAAACACACTCAACCATCTTTTTGATGCTTCACAGAATTCCGTATATATATATATATATTTATAATCTATCTTCGAATTCACGAAACACTGTAACGTTAAATCTTTTAGAATTTTCTACATGATCTAGGCCTAAAGTAAAAAACCCTTCGATCTTAATGTCATCATTACAACCTACCACTTTCTCTAGCTAACATCTAAATTACAACGTTAAAAATATAGCATTATACAATTATAATAATGTTATGACAGCGGAATTCACGTGACGCTGGTAACACGTAATGAGTATAAATTCGGTGACGAGGAACACACTTTGAGACTAATAATGGCTGGAGACTGATGATGACAAAACCTTGTCGAAACGTTGTACATTTGCTGTTATGTTAAACTTATATTAAAGTTTTTCTTCCTTACCCATTCAAGTCGTCTCCAGCCATTACGTAATGAGTATCTAGAACGTTCGTGAAGGCTCGAGTGTTAGACAGACGCCCTCTATTTTGTATATATATGACCGGCAAGAAGTGACGAGAGAGAATAAATGCAGACAGACAGATATAGAAACAGATAATCGAGTCAAGCCTTAAGTAAAATGCGTGAATCGTTGTGAATTTTAGCATGTGTTGAAGTTAAAGTGACTGTGGAAATTAAGTGTATTGCAAAGTTGTATTGAGAAAGAATAAACTAGTTTTATTTAAGAAAGGATTTGTATCGCTGAAGTTTTTTGGAAGGAATTTTTACGGGAAATTAACAAACGACCAGAGACGTAACAATAAGTTAATTGTCTAGATAATGAAAACTTGAAGCTATATTCTTATCATGACAGC